TATCATCTCCTTATGACTTCTTAATTCTGAGTCAAAAATGCAGTTTACTGCATTTTCCTAAACGTGGATTTTTTCACCTAAAAAGTTTCTTTCAATCCTACACTTCATTTCCAGCGTCATGTTCATCCTGAGTCGGCTGGATATTATATCTTTCTTCTTTTCCTGCAGTATTTTTTCACAGGCCCATTTACTTAAGCAAAGCAGCCTGTTCAGACTTGGCATCTGTCAGCTGATGGAAGGGTGGTTTGTGCATCTCTATGCTGTCAGATGCCCTCCTCAGCTATTGCCTGTGTGGCCAGCACGCCCAGCTTCCAGTGAAGTGACCGTCTGGAGCAGGCTTGCATCTGGTGTGGCTGTATGCGTAAGCTCCTGCTGCCTTTAGTCAACATTCAATAACCACGTTGTAATATTCAGTTATTGTGGGATGGCTAAGATAAGGCCCTGCGCTACAGATGCTGATCGACTCCTGGCACAGGCAGGAATACAAATGTGAGCAAGTGCACACCACTCCCCAGGTACTTCTGGAAGCCGGGGCAAGATGAGGATACCCCAGAACTGTCCATCTGCCTGTCAGATAGGCTTCACAGCACGGCACCAGGGGAATTAAATCTTGACAGGAGCCCTGACAGGGAAGCTGGGTGTCCTGGGAGAGCAGACCTCAACCCAAGGCATGGAAGCACTACTTGGAGGCCAGGCAGTAGCTGGCAGGGATGAGGCTGGCAGGGTGGACAGGGCCTAGTCACAGTGGGCTCTGTGTGCCAGGCACAAGGGTGCCTACTCTGGAGGCAATAGGAGGACATGGCATGATGAATGGTTGTTTTGGAAACCCTCTGGCAGCAAGGTGGGGAGGAGGCCACCCCATCAGTTTATCTTGGTCTCACCCTGGTGTTTGGCCAGGTCTTCCTCCACCCTGCGGCTCTTCCTGCGTCAACTGTGGTTTCTGTCACACGCCACTCTTACTGGTCTGGCCAGGCACACAGCAGCCGCAATGGGATCCATGTCACTGGACTCCACCTGTGTCTCCTGCTCCTTCAAGAGCCACAGTGTTCCCCAGGGAGACAGGTTTTATCTTCTCAGCCTCTTGAGGCTGAAACCTCTTAGGAACAGGGAACAAGGCTCTTTATCCACACGCTGCACCCAGCTATGGCTCCTCAACCTCACCCTGGGTAGAGGAAGGAAAGACACAGGTGAACAGGTCTGTTGAGGTGGGAATAAATTTTTAGAGAGAGAGAGATGTTTGATAAGATCAACGACTGGTTTAACAGACAAAATGATCTTTCAACATGGAGCATCACGCACTGCATGGGAGTGATGAGTTGTGAGGAAGGCTAATAGGTCAGACACTGAGGTGATGAAAATCCAACACCAAAAATACAATACGGAAAAGGAATTCCTGTGAGGCCAGAGAGAAGACCCAACAGGCCTCACCTAGGTATCAGAGCAGGGGAAGAACATTCCTGGATATGAACTGCGGACCAAAGGCTCAGTGTGGAGACTGTACGAGGTGCTCAGCCATCCACGGCTACTGTCTAACTCTCTTTCCTGGTTACCGATCCCTTGACAAATACTGATCCCAGTCTCCTGTGCGTGGGGCCCTGTCCAGTCTCTCCTCCAGCACCGGGAACTCTTGGGGCATGCATTGTTTCTTCCAACCGGCCCTGACACAAGTGGAAAAAAACAGTGAATTTACTGTTAGAACTCTGGCTCAGTGAATTTAGCAATGAAAATGAATGAGCCCTAAGATGGATTTTTTAGAAGAGATTATAATTCAGTTTTTTATACAGCTCAACATGAATAAGTAGACATTCTTAACAATGCAAGGTCCCCAAATGCCTCCATCACTGGGTTTTTTGAAGAACTTTTTTCAAACCAGCATTCTTTCAATGAATCAATTTTGGTTCATTGGGCAACATGGACTCCTCTGGATTATTGCCTCTGAGCTGCTGGGTTTGTCTGAGGCAGGGCTATAGGAGGGAGAAAAGAGGGGTGTGATGGTTTTTCTTATTTTCCAAGTTCTTTGCCAAAGGAAAAGTAAAACATTATTTTACTAAGACTGTGTATTAGCATTTTACTAGACACTTTATTTTACGAAGAAGAATGAACTTGTAGCAAACCTGACTTTCCAAGATTAAACATTTTTAAGTAGATGAAAGTGAAAACAATCCTGGAATAGACTGCACTAGCTGGAAAAGACATGTCTTGTTCGAGACTGCAACTGGTGGCTAACATCTTGGAATTTCTACATGAAAAAATTCTTCTTGATTTGATAATCAATCAGCAAAAAGTCTAATGTTAACAGGAATTTGTGTTTTTTCCCACAGTTCTTCAAAGAAGTAGGGGTAGACAACAGAGCAACCCCAGGGAACAGTGACGTTTGGCACTTGAAGACATGTAACACATCTTGGCAATCACCACTGCCTGGGAGTTTGCCCTCTGGGGTTTTTTTGCTAAAGTTCCAGAGCCCAGCAGCGGGGCTGTTCAATCTGTTTCTGCTGCCCTAAGAAAAAGACATGCTGGCTCTGCCAGGAGATGGCCCAAGAGTGGGCCGGGGATTCGGCTGAGACTGGCCTGGCTGTGGCCAGGCCAGGAGGAAGGACACTGTTGCCTCCTGCACCCATGACGTCTTTCCAGACAAGTGTGCAAGTCCCCAGCAGTGTAACTAAGGGCAGAGGAAAATATGCATGGACACTTGGAAACACTTAAACTGGCAAATACTAAGTACATGTTCCTTTTCAAGACTGTACATCCAGAATGTTTTAGCTACTGCAAATAGTCTGAACCAGCTGTGTACAAAGTTTTCACGTGAACCTTTGTACTGCAGTGTCTTCTCTAGCACGTGCACAACCTGGCTCAGCCTGTAGCTGGTGGAAATCACATAAGCAGACCTCTATGGCTTTTAGTGCTTGGAGATGAGCGCGGCTAACAGAGGGCGTCTTGCGAAGTTAGCCATAACCCAAGACAGTGTTCCCTGGGGCGGCACTCTGCAACACTCAAAATACAGTAGGTGCAAACAACACAGATGAGGAGCAAGGACCAGGGCTGCAAGGAAGGAGAGGGACACAACCGGGAGACCAGTGCTCAGCATCTGAGCCACACGCTTGCCCTGGCTCCTTGAGGAAACTGCAAAGGGAGGTAACTTGCAGGTGTGTTTGAGGGAAGGTAAAGGGGCGATGGGAGCCTGTTCCTTCTGAGATGCCTAACCCTGGAACTGTTTCCTTCTGAGTGTACCTGAAAAACATGGAGCTGACTTATCAAATCCTAAGCAGTAGAGTCATGGGGACCCAGCTGATCATCAGAGCTGTCCAGGAGCTCCCTGTCCCCAGGGCCTGCCCCACTCCTGTCTCACTCCAGGGGTGTCAGGGGTGGCCTCTTTGGCCAGAGGCTCCACATTCCCACCCCCTGGCAGACTGGCAATCATCAACTATCACGAGGCTGGTGGGGCACACGGACTGCAGCCACAAATGTTACTTTGGCCTGAGAGGGGAGGAGACCCCAAGAAACCAAAAGGCCTGGAAGTCAGGGTCCCACAGCCACCAACAGGTGCCACGGGCCCCACTGGCCAAGTACCTAGCACAGTACCAACTACGCACTGAGATGGGCCAAGCTGGGTGTGCTCCTTCACGGTTTGGGGCTAGGGGGCAAAATCCATGAGGGATTCCCACTGGACAGAAAGGGACGATCCAGTGATGTGGAAATGTCATTTTTGAAGAATTACTTGATCCCTGATAAAGTATTTTTCTATTGTGCAAATACGTTGAGGTCAGAATTAACAATAGATATTACCCTTTCAGTCTGGTCCCGAGGGCACAGTCTTTTACCTACATTATGCACATGTCCATTTAACTGCGGGCACAGGAACCATTTCTTCCACTTCCATCGGCACCATCAGCTGTGAGACGTCATGACTCGGGCCTGGGGTTGGCACCAGGCAGAGAGCTGCATGCCCTGGGTCACAGTGGCAGATATCAGGCACGTGGGTGGACCAGCTGCTGGTCTCCTGACCCCCTAGCAGAGGACAGCCCAGTGCCTAGCTGGCAAGTTCCTGTGACACTGGGCGGAGCTCCAAGTAAGTATGTAAACTGCAGTGGCTCTCCCAGGCCTCGGGAGGCAGGGATTACTGTACCTCCCTGAAGGCTCTGAGCCGCTGAGATGCCACCATGCCCTTAGTCCAGCCCCACCTTTCCTGCTCAGAGCACCAGAGGTGTGGCCTGTTACCCGGGGCACCCTCAAGTCTAATGGGCACAATTACTGATTACAAATGGGAAGCATGGCCTGCCTTCCTCCCCTGCAGACCTCCAGGTCAGACTGATCCCATAATCAGAGATTATATTAGAAATTAAGAAAAACAAACCAGACTGGGGAAGACGGCAGACGGGGGGAATCCAGAGGTCTAAGAGGTTGTCAGTTTAACTTGAGCGTGCTAGGCAGGCAGCAGAGGAGACACACAAATATGTATTTTGTGTTTGATTTCACTGGTTCAGATGTCTAAATGCTGGAGTAAATCTATGTGCCTCTCTTCGGTGTTCTTACTCTGAAGTGCGTTGACTGACCAAGTATGGCTATATGCTGCTGCTGATTCCCGGCCCTCCAAGGCCTAGGAGACTCATCCTCCATTCAGGACCCAGAACCACAGCAAACTCAGAGGCCACAGGTACGGTCTCAGTGGCATCAGACAATATTTGGGCTGATTCCCAAGGTATCTCTTCTGTCCCTCAGGCACGAGAGTCTGGCTCTCTGATAAGTAGCTACACAGGGATCGCTACTGGCCCACGAGCACACGACCACTGCAGAAACCCAACGCCCCCAGCTGGTCTGGGCTCCAGCGAGTTTCCTCTGGGCAGCATGTGAGAAAGGGTTCCCTGCTTTTTGGGGTTTTTTTTGTTTTAAATCATCCAGATCTAGCTTCAAAGGATTCCAAAACTTCCTTGCCCCATCTGGACCTGAAAGCAAAGGAGCTGATTTTTAAAAGCCAAATTCTCACTGCATTTGGACAGAAAGAATAATGTGTCTTTCATATCTTCTTTGTATTTCTCTTCAATAGTTGCTTCACCCAACATCTTTCTGTCTGCTCTATACAATGAAAATACAAACTAAATGAGAATAGAAAAAAATAATTAAAGCATTAAATTGTACAAATTACAAATCTGTTCCAAAATATACTTACATTAAATAAAATACGCATTTCAGTAAGAGATCTACAGTGAATGACTCTATGCATTCTGGGAAGCTTCACGACACCTAGGCAGGGCCAACATTCGTGGAGGAGCTAAGAGAACTGGCATCCAATCAGTTTGTAGCGGGTTTCTTATCACCAATCTGCGAGCTACACTGAGCACATCATTAGCATCACCTGTGCAGGGAAGTGATCTTATTGGGTACAAGGGGAAGAAGCAAGCTCGAACCTCAATTCTGAGTTCATTACAACTTCTCATCAACAGCCTATACAGTACAGTTTCAAAAAGTAAACATGTTAAGGTAAGCAGACAACTCTTTAGAACCCCAAACACATTTTCTTGCTGTATTTATGCGGAACTCTCCGTCTACAATGGGCAATCGTGAAGAGGTTCTTCCTCGGGACAACATGGTCACAGGACTCGGACGACCCAGTGGGACTGAGAGGGAGCGCGAGGACTGGGGAAGAGGGCTCCCTCTTGGTTTAAGCTGGAGACAAACTTCTAACACACAGTCCACGGCCCTGCAGTCTTCTCCTCCTATCATCTGGCATAACGCTTAATGTAGTCTTCAACTTTATTCCGGAAGTCCTCCTGTGGAGCGAGAGCAATCAGGAGAGAAAGGAGAAGAGGAGGAGCGAGTTAGTGAGGGGAAGTGACACTTCAGGAAGAAGTCGGACCTAACCCGAGCCGAGGACCCGCTGTGAGCTCTCAAGAGCGTGCAGAGGGCTTGGCCTCCACCCTCCGGTCGCCACGGTGGCAGGATAATCAGAGACCTGTGGAGCTGAGCGCTGTTTCCCACTACTCTGCATGCCCACTGTGTGCAAGACACTGTGCCCAAGTGCTGGGGCTGGGGACATAAACAGAAGCTCTAAGAGGAAGGGATCCTAAGACCCTTCATTTTGCAGATGGGGAGAGCGAGCCCCACGAGTGTGGACGAGTCAGGCCAGGACTCCTGACCACAGATGAGTGTTGAGCCGTGGCTGCTGCTCTAAGGAAGTGTCTTCCGAGAACGACTTCTCTGGACCTGGCTGCCTATTTCAAGTGTGTCCACTCTTCATGGCCTAAGTGCAGCCCACCATCAGGGTGACCACCCTGCCCGAGAGTAGGGGTGGGCTTAGAGCAAAGATCCCTCCTTGGGCATCAAGCAGAGCCACCTGGGAGCCGGGTGGCTCCCCATGGATCTGGGGATCTCCCAGGTCAGGATGGGTGGGGAGGGAAAGCCACCTCAGATCTGAGCCGGCACCCAGGTGTGTCCCCCAGGTCTGTTCTCTCTAAGTTAGGAGCAAAATTCCCTGGCCTTGCAGGACTGGGGGAGGGCCTTGCCCACCTCAGAACGGCTGCATTTAGTGGCAGGACACTGTGTAATCTGACAGGCAGGCTCTCCACCCTCTTACTCCTATAACACAGCTGCCAGGTCACTGATGTCCCGTGGGGTCACACTGCTTCCGTCCAAGTAACAGGCGCAAGGCCGCGTGGCTCCCACTGTGCAGGGAGCACGGCACAGCACAGCACAGCACTTGGTGGGTGCTGACGTGCGCCCTCTTGTGGCGAGCCGCTGCCTGGAGCTGCGTCTCTTCCAGGGGTCACACTTAGAAGGCACTGGAGCACTGAGCTGGCCTGCTCTTCTGCCACACTTAATTTGCACAGTCACCCTTGCAAGGTCAGGGCAGGTTCCTAGTTTTAAAGTTCTGGAAATGGTTCGGTGACTTGCTCACAGTCTCAGCTGAGAAAGTGGAGAGCTATGATGGCACTCCAGGTGGCCCTGACTACCAATGCCCGCACTTGTTGACAGGACTGCATTCAGAGGCTCCCACACAGCCCTCAGCCCACAGGAAAGATGGGCTGTGTAGAAGCCCTGACTTGCCTCTAGCAAAAACTCTCCCAAGGTCATTTCCATGGTACCCAGAAGCCAACAACACTGTCAGCTAGTAAGGAGCCACAGCCGAGGCTCACAGATGTGAAGTGAAGACCCCATAGGCACCCCTCACCCCACATCCTGCCCTCAGGACCAAAAGTGCCTCTGCTTATTAGTCTTAATCCCCTTTGCTCTCATCATCTCACCCAGGACAGAGCCCAGAGTCCATGGCCTCCAGAAGGCCCTCTATGCTCAGGCCTCTGCTGCCTCCCACTTGCCACTTTGCCTGGGGGCCCACAGAGCAGGACCAAGTGAAGACCAAATCTTGGGCTCTGCCCCTTCCTGGCAAGTCTCTCACCTTCTTGGTGGCTCTGCTTCCTCAGCAGCAAATCAGGGATAATAAGACTCCTTGCCTTGTGGAGTTGTCAGGGGAACAAATGCCCTCGTGGAAGTGCCTGGGACAGTGCCTGGCACATGCAAGGGCCCCTCAAGGTTGCTGCTACCATCACGTCACTGCTGTCCTGCTCCCCTGCTCTAGTCAGGCTGGCCTCTGTACTCTTCCCTGAACAGCCCAGCACATTCCCGCCTTGGGGCCTTTGCACTGGCTGTTGACACTCTCTGGAATACGCTTCCTCACTTGGTTCACATCAGAAAGGCCCTCCCTGAGCACCTCACATAAAATAGCAACACCTCTCACCCCCTGACCCCCAGGACCCCCCTACCACATGTTATGTTTGCTTATCTGCACTCGGCCTCCTCCCACTAGCATGTCCACTCCACAGGGACAGGAACCATCTGTCCACTCATCTATCCTGGGCATTTAGCACTTTACCTGGCACTTCAGTGGCCACAAGTCAAATTTGGGATGAACAGTGAATACAAAATAAAGGAAGCAGAAAGTGCAGTAACTGTGACCATGACTTGGCAGGAGGGCATGGGTGGGGATGGGACACTTCTCAGAATTCATGTAGAGGAATCACTGTTTGGAGGATTTTAAGCCCATCTTACCGGGACTAAAATTTTATAAACTGTAAGTCTTCCCCTTATTTCATACAAAGAGTATGAAGCAACCTTCCAAGAAAAAAAAGACGATTTGTGACATCTTTCCCCACCTGCCTCTGTAGAAGCATTCCCTATTATCATCGCTTTCCTTCCCTGACAAGGTTGAGTCCACAAGGGCTGCCAACAGCCACAGTCCTGAGTGGGGATGTCCTTGTCCGCGACAATGACAGGTGGAGTTACAACATGAATGGAGCCTCCTGAAAAGGCACAGAGCCCCGGAGCACGCCTGCAAGGGCTTGTCAGCGCACTGGACAAACCAAGGCTTTGCCAGGCCACACAACCCAGCCAGTGCTGCCCAAAGGTGGTGCGGAAGGCCAACCATTGAAGGTGGGCGAGCCGTGAGAACAGGCTGAGGGGGCTGCCCGGCCCAGAGCCGTCTTACCACGGGCACTTCATCCGAGGACCTCTGCTACCTCCCGACCTCCTTGGCAACACGCTGGCCTGACAGCCAGCCTCCTCCGCCTGACCAAAAGCACCCACTGACCCTCAAGTCCTGCTGCAGGACTCCCTGTTCCTCACTGTGCCTGTCACACAGGACACAGGCAAGTAGGCGCGGCTCTTGGGTCTCTGGCAGGGACACTCCTGCCCACTCCTCGGGGCCCTGCTGAGGCAGCACCCCTGCCCCTCTGTTCAGGGTTGTGGTGAACATCACACACAGCACATTTAAAACGCCCTGCACACCCTGGCACACAGTAGGTCTTACATAAACAGAAGCACTTGCTCTTAATGTTAAGTACGATACTTAGAATCAACCTAGTGGCTTTTAGAACTTTGTATGTTCAGAGCAATGCCAGCCAATCCAACAGTGTTAGGGGCAGACTGCTGGGGTCGGCCAGGATTCTCAGGGAATCTGGTTCAGAAAATGAAAGGCGAGGTTCTCTGACTAAACCAAGTCAGCACTGCAGTGCTGCCCACTTGGGCCTAACTAGCTAACTAGCTTGGCCCCAAGTGAGGCTGAGCAACCTCTAACAGCCTTGTCCAAGCATACAGGGCCATCTCCCAGCCTCCTGCTCCAGATCCAATGCCTTGTTCATGCACTCTGTAAGGATGTGTGTACACGGAACATTTACTGCATTATCGTTTGTAATCAGATAAAAACCCCGTGGGGAAAACCCAAGTGCCCACCAATAAGGAATGGTTAAAAAAAGTATGGTAGAGCCACTTTATGGAATATTAACAGCTCCTAAAATGACTGAGCGATAGTTTATGCATTGACTTGGAGGGGAAGGAAGTTTTAAAAAAAAGGAATTGAAGATTAGGAGTTATAAATATCATCCAATTATCTGGGGCCAAAACCAAACAGGCATGCTTGTGTATGAGCTCATTGGAAGCTGTGGAGGGGTGACGTAGCTGGCTGGGAGCCAGGAGGGTGCTGGTGGGTGTGACATTCTCCCTTCTATCTGCCTGGTCTGTTAACAAGGTGAAGTAACAGTTGCCTGGTTTAAGTTACTCACTGAATTCTACTAGGAAATCACATCTAATAAAACCCTTTCTGACCAACCTTGGGTCAAACACTTTACTGAGACCACTCACGTGTTATAACACATTATTTATAAATTGCTTTACATCCCAGTCCTGGACCCCACATTCTCAATTTCATACTTATCAAGAGACAATAATTATCTTTTTACCAAATACATCCACCTAGAACATTCCTGTTAGTAGCTTACCTTGTCCCGCAAATGATGTTCTGCAGCTTCAATATTCAGTGGATCATCAAAATTCAAAAGATCCTTAAAAAGAGAGAAACTCAAAGTAAACAATGGAAAGAATCTGTTTTTCTGTTATAAGTCTTCATTGAATGAACCAGGCAACAGAAATCTAATCAGTGAATGATAAAAGGACCTAGAGAGTTGAGAAATTCCATTAAGAACTGAAGTTCTTCTGATGTAAGAGTAATGAACGTGTGGGTCTTTTTTTCAAAATGGTGATTAATGGTTGACTGAAAGAAGTCAGCTTACATATAATTGTCCAAAGTCTGGTGAAAATGGAAGAAATAGCAATCACATTAATTTCTAATGCTATTTTTAATAACTGGAGAATGAAAAACCACTCATTATGAATATTTCCAAATAGAAATCCCATTCTTTTTTACTTAAAAATTCATTTCCCTCCTTTATTTTGTGATGAACAATTTTGCCTTTGTAAGTCTATTCTGACCTTAGCTGGATTTTCTCTTTATCTTCTAACTCACCTTCATAAGCATGGCACTCATAGCCCAGCAGGGATGATGTCTGGAACCCGACTGAATGCAGGGGCAGTGCCATCATGCCAGTGTCCCGGGGCCTCAGGAGGGAGCACCAGACCCTTTCTACCCGTGCATCTGCTAGGACCAGGAAGCTGCCCCTCCAACAGCCGGCAGTCCTTGGGGGCTGCCCAGGATGGGCTCATTTTCATGGAAGGACCTTAGGTTTTACCAAAAGGAGCACAGCTGTTTTTTTTTCCCCCCTAGAGACAGATCCCTGAAGCTTATTTCTTGTAAAGCTCTTTTATGATCAAAAAATAAAAACTCGAAGGAACAAATAATATTATATAAGAAGTCCAAATACCCACTTCGGCTGTGCCCTTTTTACTTCTCCCTATGCCTCTCCTGCCCTCCAGCCCTGCCTGTGATGCACTGTTTTCTGAGGACAGCAAACTTGGGCAGCTTGTCACTGAGAAATCAAGAAAAACTCTAAGGTTCTGGGTTCATGAAAAGCCTCAAGGTCGGGTGACCACAGACTCCTTCAACCAAACCAGGACGCCTGGGAGTGAAGAAGGCTGCAGACTGGGCTGCTGGTTGGAGCAGATGCAGTGCAGGGCTGGGCCAAGCACTCCCAGAGGAACACCTGCCCCATGTGAAGGAGCCTATAGCAGTGGAACTGGTCTCAAGCCCCTAGAAAGTGGGGGCGACGCTCTGCTCCCCTCCTTCCCCCAATGACCTCCCGACGTGACACTCCAAAGCCCTCTCAGTTCCCGTCTCACTGTTCTTCTGACTCAAAAGTGCAAGAGAAAAGGGGGTCTGTGTACACGGTGTTGTTTTTAATCCCTTCGTGTTATCCTTTCATGTCATGTTTAACACCAGCAGTCAGGGGAATCAAGAAAAACTTGGGATTTTGGTCAATATACTCACAGTAAACAAAGAGTTTAATCCCCAAACAACATCCTGAAATGAGAAAGAAAGAAGAAAACAAGTTTCAGGCTTCTGTGCACTGAAGTCTTTTAAATCCATGACCAAGAAATACGTATTGTGCCACATCAAAAGTCACCTTCAGCATGCTTTATTTTCCCCAAGACAGAAAATTAAAACAACTTCTCTTCAATATAACAACAAACCGTGGGACATTCAGAGATGAGCAGTCACAGGTGGTGAATACAAAATCTAAGACAACATAAACTGCTCTCCCTCGGAGACCAGGGCCCAACGAGCCCAATCCCGTGCACGAGAAAGCCCACGGGCAGCGTGGCCAAGGAGAGCTTCACTGTACACCACTTGTTACCTGTCATTACCAAATACGGTTCAGACTTCTGAAAAGTCCTCTTTAAAATACAATCTATTGGGGCCGGCCCAGTGGCGTAGCAGTTAAGTGTGTGCGTTCCGCTTCGGTGGCCCAGGGTTCGCAGGTTCGGATCCTGGGTGCGCACTGATGCACCGCTTGTCAAGCCATGCTGTGGCGACGTCCCATATAAAATAGAGGAAGATGGGCACAGATGTTAGCCCAGGGCCAGTCTTCCTCAGCAAAAAGAGGAAGGTTGGCATCGGGTTAGCTCAGGGCTAATCTTCCTCACACACACACAAAACAAACAAAAAAAAGTAAAAAAAAAAAAAAAAAAAAAAAAACAATCTATTGTTTTTGCATCTGTGGCCTCTTTGGGATCGTAGATAAGCTAATTACTCACTGTCCCACTGAGTCTTCTTAATAATTTTGCTCTAGTTACGCCAAAAATCAAGGGAGACTAACATGTTCTAACATGCAAAGATCAGAAATTTTCATTAAAATAAAATTGAAAACCATCATTGTTCTCTGTGACTTGTGATGTGACTCAATCACAAATCCTTCTTGCCTTCCTCTTCAGCAGCTCACGAGTCTTCTCTTTTTAAGGCCTATTCTCATTCTCATTCAATACTCTCTGCTAGTTGGCAATTTTAATTGCCATGCTCTGCTTTCTCCCATCCATCCATCTGTCCCTCTCCATCTCCCCACCCACCCACCCCTTCATTCATCCATCCATCCATCCATCCATCCATCCATCCATCCATGTCCTTTTGGTGTGAGCCAGGCCTGAGGCTGGAGCTGGGAGTGAACACAGGCTCTCGGTCTGGTAGAGGGGGTCAGGAAGACAGGCATGTTAGCAGAACTTCCACAGAAGTGTTCCCACAGAGGACCCACCCAGGGAGGAGAGGCTTCACAGAGGAAGTGGGGGCCCGCCAGGTGGAGGGATGGCAGGAAGGGCACCTTCCAAGTAGAGGGACTGCCTGTACAGAAGCTAAGTCTCACAAGGCAGGACATGTCCAGGACATGGTGAGAGAAGCACAGGCCAGGCTGCCCCTGGTAGCAGAGACGACACCTCATGAGGAGCCACGGTCATGACTGCATGAAGTCTGCAGTGTCCCCTGACTCTGGGACAGGGCCCCAAACTCCTTCCCTGTGTTCTTCCCCCGAAGGACCTACTTGGTGATACCCAACACCCAACAGTCCTTTCTGGACACAAGGAGCGGTCTATACACCAGTTTGTAGCTGTCTCCACAAGGTGTGGTTACGTACAGAACTAGACCCGGCCCAGGCCTGGTGCAGTCACCTACACGTCTCTCTGGGCCTCAGCGTCCTCTAAGAGCACTGAGGCTGCAGTGTGCCTCCTGTCCTCCCCCAAGAGCTGGGGAACAGGAATGACAGTCTCTAAGAGATGGATCCATAAATCAACATGTAACAGATGAGGTTCGTTTTCTGCAGAAGTTATTTTAAAAGGCAGGTCCTGGAGAGTTAATCTGTGATGGACGGTTGGGAAAGAAAGCCCGGCACACATGTCCAGTCCTGCTCAGGCTCACCCTTGCGACCTGAGGGGCAGCATCCAATGCTGCATCTCTGTTATCAGCCATTGCTTTCTTTCTGTGCATGTGGCACAGACTTAGACTTATAAGGGTTTTAGTTATGACAACTTGTATAATCCATGCATGACTGAGACAAAGCTGACGTGTGTGGAAAAATAATACTCTTGAGGAAAGACAGAGAGGGAGAGAGGAAAAGATGGCACGTGCAAGGTGCCACAGTTCTCTGAGCTTCACCAACAACGTGCAAGTGTTGACCTGGTGAGACTGTCAGACTCAGAGAAGGCAGACACAGTCACCAGGGAAGATGGGCCTGGCCCAGATGACCACGCCTTTGTGCTGAGTCCCCAGCTAAAGTGCAGGCTGGGAACACAGTGGACCCTGAACCCAGTACCCGGCGAGCGCTCTTCTGGGCGGTATTGATCCACCACAGGATAGGGCAAAGGCTACGATCGCGTGGAACTATTTCGTTACTCAGTCAAAAAATGATGGCAAAAGTCAGGTAGCTGTTTACTGCTAAGTGAACACTAGCCAAAAGTTCTGACGACTACTGATAAAAAGACCAGGCAACATGAAGAAACCATAGGTGCCCTACAGATACCCTTGCAGAAAAGCCTTGAGGTGAAGCCATAGCTGGTGGCCTCAGGCAGGTGCTCATGATGTGTGCCACTGAAACCAACTCAGGATGCTGTTGTAGAAGGAACTGGGGCATTTATTTAGTCCCTGTGGCTCCCCTTCCACACTGCGCCCCCAGTAGAAGGGGCGTCTCCTCAGGACATACCTGGCTGCTGTCCTGCCACCCCTCCTCTGTCCAGTGTAACTCAGAACAGACAGAAAGCCCACATCTACCCTTTCTTTTCCTCCCTCTCTACCCATTCCTGGAAACTCTCCTCTCCTTTAAGGGTGAGATGACTATAAAAGACCAGGGTGAAAGAGAAACTGTAAATTATCTGAAGCCCAAGTGGTAAAGGGCAGAAGGGAGAGTAGATGACCTGCCCCCTCCCCCCAGTGCCCTAAAGAGGACTGGGGGCAGAGGAAGTGATCAGGGCAAGGGCTTGGCCAAGCAGCCCCAGGCAGGTGGTGGGGAGAGGAGGGAATAGGGTGTGCCCAGCCAGCTGTGTGGACAGGACAGGGAGGACGTCACTGTTCTTACAGGAGGCTGGTTACTCCAGGGGAGGGCTGTGGTCAAAGGCATTGCTCTCTACCTTTAACGTCCTAGTGGGAGCCCAGCCGGTGCCGTCAATCGAATGTTCTCTCAGTAAACTGAAACAGACACAGAAAGGCACAGCGGTCAGCAAGGAGCAGGCTCCGGTCACATGAGCGCAGGTGTGCCACACACGCACGCCCTGTTGCCAGGTCCTCTCGGCACATGCCTGCTCTTTGGGAGATCCACTTCTCACGTAACCCCGCTCTCCTCTGTGGCTTCGCAGTTTCCTGTCTTGCTGCAGAAGGCCTTCTCCAGCTCCAGGGTTGTACACGTACTCGAGTCTGATCTCTCGGGTTATTTTTATGTAGTGTACATACACATCTTTAATCCTGGATGCACATGGAAGTTTTAAGCGGGGAAAAGCACGCTTAAAACAGAACATGCAAACTGTTCTGCATCTGTCGATTTAACATTCAGAAAATGACAGGAACAGCAATGACAACAGGAACAACTGACACTTAGAGCTTCCTATGTGTGTCAGCACGATCCTAAACTCACTAACGCCTCAACAACCAGGAGAGGAGGAAACCAAGGCACAGAGCAGCAACATGCCCCGGGGCACACACCTGGTCAATGGTGCATCCTCCAAACCCGGGCAGCTCACCTGGAGTTGTGGGTTAACACCAATGTGAGCCCCTAGCACATGAAATTTTAATAGCTGTTTAAAAAAAAAAAAAAACCTCAAAAGGGAAAACTTAAGGATGAAGGTAGACAAACACTAAGCTCTGGATGGCGCTCACCTGTGGGTGGGAGGACCATGTTCAAGGGAGGTGCCCAGGAGCCTCAGAGGCGCTATGAGGTCCTATTTCTTAAGGTGGACCTGAGAGCTACTTTCATTACTGTTCTATCAGCTGTAAATGCATGTTACATACTCTCATATAAATGATTATTCCATACTTTGAAACATTACAGTTTATTGCCAAGTTTCCTTCTGGTAATAAAATTAGTTTGGCATTATTGAATTATATTGTGCTGTTGCTCTGAACTGCACACAACAGTTCGTAAGCTAACACGTCAATATCAGGCTTTCCAGGTCATAATTGTTACTGTGAAGAAATTTTTTGAATCAGAGCATGTTCAAATTCACATAAATCAATTAAGATCAGGAGAAAATAGAAATATGTGGAATTCAAATCAAGGCTATAATCTTAACTGTCCAAGAAGCTCAGTTAGAACAGATAAAACCAACTGGAAGAGGGCCACTATAGCTTATTTTGAGCCTTAAAAAGAAAACAAGAAAGAAGAAAACTCAAATCATGTACCCTACTCCCATCTTACCGGGTGGACGTCTTTCCCCCATCTCACTGATTGAGATGAAACCTCTACAACTTTTGAATAACTTTTTAGGAACTATCTGCCAAATCCTAGTGGTTTATATGACCCAATGAAAGACTTCTTTACCACGACAGGGGAAAGGATTACTTCTGATCTAGCTTATCCTTTTCTTTTACAGATCTCATTGTATCTTTAGCTATATACTTGTTTGTTTACTCGTTGAATGTCTGTCTGTCAGGGGCCACCAGCTGCAGGCCCCATCAAGCAGAGAATGCAAACTGCTCCCCACTGTGTCTGGGCTCAAGGAACATTAGCTGGTGGAAGGCACGCAGGCAGGCAGCCACGTAGTTGGCTGACCAGTCAGTATCCTCTGAGCTTTCCTGTCAACAGCAGGGCCAGAGCAGGAGGGCTTTGTACCTGGAGGCCAGGTGTGCCTACCAAGGGTAACAGCAAGTCACAGGGGAGCAAGTGCCACTGGGCAGGCTGTGCCCATGTCTGGTGGCCACAGGTCTGGGCAGGGTGACACCATGGAGGGGAGCACAGAGTCACCACAGAGACTCTAGCCCAGCCTCAGCAGACGACAGTCCTGTGGGAGCTCAGGTGACAGAGCCGTGTGGTCATCAGAGAGGGTACTAGGCAAGGAGACAGAGAATATCCCAGGGACTAGACTGCAAGCTTGGACTCCAGGAGAAAAAGTCTGAGGCGCAACTACCAGACTCCTGGCCTTGGCACCTCTGACTGAGCCAAGAGCAGGGTGAGGGCCCTGAGTGGGAGTGGGACCAATCTCACTAGAGAGGTAAGAGCCCCTGTGTACCAGACAAGGCCCCACAGAGCACCAGGCGCCAGTCAGTACTGCCGAGCGAGGAATCCAGGTAGATGCTGCCCAGCGGTCCCTGCGGACCAGGAGCAGCTGGGCCAGGCTCGTCTTTCCCTGTATTAACGAGACGCCATGAGTCAGCTGTGCGTTAGCCACTGCTGGACACTGTCTCATTTTCACAAACAACGAGGTGGTCTTTGTACATAAGTCTGGAACATTATTTCCCTCAATTAAATCAGTAGAAGTGCAGCTGACAAGTCGAAGGGTAAATACAGTTAAATGTAGACCTTACAGCTGAAGGGCCAATGAAAAGTGCACAGATATAGGCACCTCCAGTGATGCGAGAGAGCCTGTTCTCACACACACACGTCACTGACTGTCTGCTTTTGTATCTGCCAGTCTGAGAAGTGATGAGCAGCATCTCGTTTCCGCGCTCCTTTCTCTGGTTACCACTGAGCATGAGCATCCCTCAGACACTTACCGCCCACCTGTACTTCTCCTTCCATGAATCATGTATCTGTAGCCGATGCTCATTTTTCCAGCCAATGTGTCCATCTTTATCCTATTGATTGGTAAGGATTGTTTACATACAAAGGATGTAATCCAGATGATCTTTTCTCTTTCAATTTTGTGTTTCTGTATTTTTTATTTTAATGTGGCTAAATCATCAATGACTTTCCTTTAAGGTTTCTGGCTTTTGTAGCAAGCTACCATCTGCTAAATTCCTTTCATACTTTGCTAATAACCTGATTTCTCACAAGACAGCAAAAGACGCAAGAGAAATTCCTGGCCTGGACCTAATTGTGACCGAGGAAGAGGACTTGACAGGGAACTGGTGTGTAGTGGACTCCCAGGCGAGTGAGCTCAGGTGACAGCCTAGGGGAAGAAGGCTGGACCAGACACCATTTATAACCTGAAACTGAAGAATGCTTTTAAAGTTTTAATACTTAAAGACAGATACTTAAAAGGGAAGATGCCTTTAAAAAAGGTATACTCTCATAAAATGTATTTTTAACTGTCTATAAAAAATGAGGCTGAGGGGATGGCCTGGTGGCATAGTGGTTAAGTTTGCGCACTCCACTTCAGCGGCCCAGGGTTTGCAGGCTTGGATCCCTGCAACCGACACACCGCTCCGACCTACACACTGTTCATCAAGCCATGCTGTGGTGGCATCCCACAGATAAAATAGAGGAAGACGGGTACAGATGTTAGCTCAGGGCCAATCTTCCTCAGCAAAAAGAGGAGGACTGGCAAAGGATGTTAGCTCAGAGCTAATCTTCCTCACCAAAATAAATAAATAAATAAATAAAGAGGTTGAAATGAAAGAAAAGGGGGCACCATACACAAAAATAAAATGGGAAAATGGGTACTAACTGCACTTTGAAGAGGAGATCCTGACATCCCAGCAGCCAATAGCAGTCACAGTTGATACATCTCCCTTCAAAGGTGACTGGTGTTTATCGAGAAGGAGAGTGAAAGAAAATAGATAGAGTGGCCAAGCATGACAATTGACATAGAAAGAAAGTAAAAAATTGTGCTCAAGAAGTACTTAATGCCTAGTTTCCAGACTGTGGTTGAGTGTGAGGCATATGATGGTTAAATAACTTCCCAAAGTCACACAGCGAACAGTGGTGGGACTGGATGCAAGCCCAGGTGGTCTGGCACCTGCAATTAACATCACTGCCTTACTAGAGAAAGTGACAGATGCAGGAAAATACAAGTCCAAAGGCTTAATTAACTTTAAAAAACAAACAACCCCACACGTCTCCGGTTCTCTGCATTAGTGTCCAGCAACCTGAAGAAGCAGGAAATCGCTGATCCCTGATCATCTGCCCTTGGAAGGGTGGGCACACAGGCCACAACTGACATGAAGCTCTGGGAAAGCTGTCCTGCTTCAAAAGTGCTCCCACACACATCAAGACCATCTTCGTAAAGAGAGGACATCTTAAATACATGTGCCCAGGTCTCCTTAAGCCTGTCATCCACATTTTTTTTCTGGATTTCATTAATCATATTTTTCCCTCTTAGGGAATGCAGGATCTCACTAAAATAGGAGGAGAGAAGGGTCAGGGCCCCCAGAGGGAGCACTCTGGGCAGGAGGCAGGCTGCAAAGACTAGCAGGGGCCTTGACCACCAGGGGGCGCAGGAGGACCCAGGTCTGGAGGCTAAGGCCAGGCTGGGCAGGAGAGCTCAGACCACTCCAGTTTCTCGAGTGTAGCCCAAAGCCCCAGGGCGGTTTCCCAAACCCCCCTAAACTTGGCCCAGCCTCAAAATATCCACCAACAGAGATAACATGTTAGAAAGCCCAGCGCTCACAAGCAGTGCTCACAAATACAGACGACAGGAAGGAAGAGAAACTCACCTTAGACATATTTCGCCTGTCTCTGTGATGTTGGGGTGCCAGATCCTGGTCAAGCATTTCACCTTGGGAGGCTGCAACACAGAGATGAAGCGATCATAGGCTCTCCAAGTCACGACTGCAGTCAAACACTTACCACCTAGTCCCTTTTTCCACTGCTTGCTCAGCATCCAGTTTGACTCACCAACAGCGTTCAACCTTGGACACCGGCTCACGTCACCACACAAGAGTGTTTTCACACCCCATCGACAAGTGCTCATCTCACTGTAACACCTGCCTGCCCCCTAACAAAGCCCCTCCACAAGCCCCGGGGTCTGACAGCGGATGATGCTGGTGGCTGGGCCTCTGCCACCTCTGACCCTCCCTGAGCCGGGGCTGTGGAGGAGAAGCCCGCAACACACTCCAGGGAGGAGTTCTGCACCTCCAGGCCCCGATTCCAGCCAGGAGCCCACAGACTCCTTTGTGCTAAGTTGCTGAACTGTGGCTCAAAGTTAACTGCTCTTCAGTAGTAGCCGGTTCCCTTCGTGGATGTTTCTGAAGATGCTATTTTCATCTATACTTTTTTAGATGCAAGTCTTAGTCCACTTTATATTTAAAGGAGGGAGGATGAAAATGAGTACACGGGAATAAGGCGATATCTGTATATATATTATACATATTATACATTAATATATATATATTAACTCCACCCAGAAAGTCTCTATTAACACCTGATGTACATTTTTTGAGCCTCTTTTCTAGGCCACACACAGATGTGTGTGCACACACATTCATTTTTCTTTATAGACAGGGGGAAATGTGCTATATATTTGCTCATATTTATTTTGTCACCAATTCAGATGGTTTTGGGCTTTCTCGCATCCCATGGTACAAACACTAGCATTTAACAAGCCAGTTCCCCATTACTGGACATTTAGGTTCCTCCCCACTCCTACTACAAATCGTGCTAAATCAATGCTCCTATCTTTGCTCACTTCCGTATGAAATATTTCCCCGAGATGAAGCCCAGGAAGAGGAACTGCTGGTCAGAGCGCTGGCTTCGGATACAGTGCCAAGTGCTCTGTAGCCAAGGAGGGCCCCTTCTCCAGTCCTAGTTCCATAGTGTGGTCTCCTTTGTTTGACAAGCATAAGTGTCATCTCACAGAATCTCATCAGATATGTCATCTCATAGATATTAAAGTGTCAACCCTCTGTCACAGAGGGGCAACATTTTCCCAGTTTATCATTTAGTTTTAATTTATATTTATGATGTTATGCTGAAGTGTAGAAGGATTTTTTTAATCTTTGTAATCAAACTTTTGTCTTTGATACCAACCTAGAAAATACTTCACTACCTAATGTTCTCCTGTACTTTTTCTAGTACTCAAATAATATCATCTTTTTATTTGTATAAAGTAAACATACTTCTTCAGCATCCTCCTAAGATTTCCTCCTGATTTCAAAACACCACAGCATCAAGAGACTCCCCAAAATGATTAATCCAACTATGCAAATGTAGGTGTCTGAGGATTACAGGATGTAGGTCTAGAGTGAGTTTAAATCAATTTAACATGCTCTAATTTGCTTTTCTGCAAGTAAATGGGAATGCATTTGACAGAAGGAGTACTAGTACATCCTGCACTTCCAGTGAGGCCTTCGGGCTGGAGAGGGAAGGCCAGCACTGTCCGGGCTGGAAGAGTCTCTCTAGGTAACTGAATGTAGTTAATAGAGGTGGTAGACTAAATCACTGACTCAGCATCTAAAGGAACTTAAAGGCTCAATCTCCCTCTGGAGACCCCGGCACACGGTCACTCGCTAATGTTCACTACATCTCCAAGTGTCTGACTGTGTCCTCCTCTCCTCCTTGTCCCTTCACACCTGCCATAGTTAGATGTTGACACAGACATCAACCTTGTCAATGGCCCTCTTAACTTTCGTCCACAGAAATGAGAGCAAACCTCTGCATCAGAATTGTGGACCGGGATTCTGACACACACTTTCCAAACTGAACTGTTCTAACAAAAAATACCCTGCTCCACCTCCTACCTCAGTGGCTGGCATTGCCACCCACCCCATCACACAGCTAAGAATTTAATATACGACAGACACTGCATTGCAAATCAATGGGGAAAGAGGGATTCTTCAGTGGACAACTGCCTAACCATCTGGAAAAATATAGTCAGATCCCCACTTAGAGCTTTATTCCAGATGCTTGAAACATAAACAATACAGAACTATAAGAGTACTAGAAGAAAACGTAGATGAGCTATCTTGGGGTCTGAAGGCCCATTTTAAGCATTTTGTAACATGAAAAATTGTGAAAGAAAAGTAGATTTGTCTACAGTGGTGAAACAAAAAGCAAACTTTTATAGAACAACAACAAAAACAAACAAATGGAAAACAGGAAAATATTTACAGCACAGCTAAGAAAACTAAGAAAAAAGTTTCATATAATTTCTATAATAGAACTCTTATAATAAGAAAAACAAATACTCCAATGGAAAAAAAGGACTAAGCACACAATAATTTAAAAACATAAATAGCTAATGAGTAGGAAAAAGTATTTAGCATTCTACATATTTAAGAAACGAAAATTCGAATGACAATTAGATACTATTTATTTCCTCCCAAAACGGCAAAAGAAAAAAATAATGAAAATATCCCATGGTGGTGAGGGTTTAGGAAAAAGGGAATTTTTCAAACACCAAGGATGAGGATGCATAACCTCCCTGAAGGATAATTTTTTTTTTAAACAGTTTATTTATTTATTTATTTTTTGTGAGGAAGATCAGCCCTGAGCTAACATCCATGCTAATCCTCCTCTTTTTGCTGAGGAAGACCGGCTCTGAGCTAACATCTATTGCCAATCCTCCTCTTTTTTTTTTTTTCCCCAAAGCCCCAGTAGATAGTTGTATGTCATAGTTGTACATCCTTCTAGTTGCTGTATGTGGGATGCGGCCTCAGCACGGCTGGAAAAGCGGTGCGTTGGTGCACGCCCGGGATCCAAACCCGGGCCGCCAGTAGCAGAGCGTGCATACTTAACTGCTAAGCCACGGGGCCAGCCCTCTGAAGGATAATTTAACAGTACTGATGAAGACCCTTAAAATTAGCATCAGGTACTCAACACCCATACTTTCACTTCTAAGAATTTATCCAAAGGACAGAGGCAGGCATATACAAGCTGTTGTCTAGAACATGCATCACAGCACTGTTTATTCCAGGGGTCAGCAAACTGTAGCCATGGACCAAATGCAGGCCAGGCCTGTTTTTGCCTGGTCTGTGATCTAAGTACACTTTTTACATTTTTAAAAGGTTGTTTTAAAAAAAGAATATGACACAGAGACCATATATGGTCCACAAAGCCTAAAATATTTACTATTTTGTCCTTTGCAGAAAAATATTTACTATTTTGCCCTTTACTATCAAAAAACTGGCCAACCAGTTGACCAATGATAAAGGATTGGTTTAAAATAATGACACATCAGGGCCGGCTCCGTGGCTTGGCGGTTAAGTGCGCGCGCTCTGATGCTGGCGGCCCGGGTTCGGATCCCGGGCATGCCCCAGGCACCACTTCTCCGTCCAACGCGAGGCCGAGTCCCACGTACAGCAACTAGAAGGATGTGAACCTATGGCATGCAACTATCTACTGGGGCTTTGGGGGGAAAAAATGAGTAAATAAAATCTTTAAAAAAAAAAAAATAAAATAATGACACATCATACACTGAAGTGCTCTTATTGATGATGATGTAATTACCCCCAAATTACCAAGCTATATGTAGCGTGATCCCATTTGTACATATGATTATATACTGTCTGTAACATACGTCAGAAAGTTAACGGGGATCCTCTCTGGGTGGACAGATAATGGATGATTAATATTCTATTTTTGCATAGCTATTTTTTCTCAATTGCGTGCAAAGTATAACAAATGACATAAAAAGAAGAGTGGTCGGTGGGAGATCAGGTGTCACCTGTTGTATCTCTGGCTCTCTTCCTTCTGGAAACATGACAGGACAGCCCTTATTTACCCTCTTTGCGGCTGGTCGTGGCCACGTTACTTGATTTGGTTATGTTACCAATAATGTGTGAGCGAACATGACACGCATCACTTCCAGGAGGAAACTGGAGTCAAGGAGTTAAAAGCCGAGTTCCTTTCTCCTGCTTCAGCACACCGTTTCCTCCAACCAACACACGATCGACATGCCACGGAGCAGCGTGAGACCCGGGGACTGTGTGACACCACAGCCAGGCCACCCTCTGTGCACCAAGGCCCTACTCCTCCTCTGGGCATCCCCATCATCCTGAGGGGATCACCACTCCCGCATCACCAGCCTGGCTCATCACTATTTCTGTGTCTGTCTCCCGGGACACAGCTGCCTGACTCCTCATCTCTAGCCTGCAGTGTCTACACAGAGCCCAGCACATTTTAGGAGCCCGTTAAATGTCACTAAATCACTTCAGCCAATTTCTAGGATTGAGAGAGATTACGAGGCAGGCTTGTGGCTGTGAGGTAAAGTTCAGGGAAAAAAGGACAAAGAACCAAAGGAAATTTTGAATTTTAGCTGCTGGGGTGTAGGAATGTGTGTACAGGGGAAGAATAGCAAATAGGTGTTTTCTTTCTTTTAAAAGTTTATTCTAAAACAATGATCTACTTTACTGATTAAAAGATTTTCAGAGTCACAATCTTAATAACAGACCTAATTGCAGGAATTATAAGTGTTAGGGGTTTAAAAAAAAGTCCTTATGAAGTACAGCAATCATAAAAGTTATGGTATAAAAGCACGAGAACCCTGAAAGAGTTCCACAAAGCCCTCTCAGGCTGACCTTCTAAAACCTGGCTGTGTCTCCTCACCCAAATGAAACACAAATCCGCTGCATGACCTCTACCCCAAATGCCCGAACCTATCAGTTTTCAGTTGCTGATTTAATTTTCTATTTCATAGTTTATAGGGGGCAGAGAGAATGCCAACCTTTGGGCAAGTGCATAGTGCATACCTGGAGGGGCAGGCCCTTGCCAAGCACTGGGAATACCACGTAATTAAGACACTCCCAGACTCCTCCTTCAGGGAGCTGACAGTCTAGTGGAAAGAGATGCTAAGGAGGACTATGTAAGTACAGTCGTACTTCGCTTAACGATGGGGATAATGTTCTGAGAAATGCGTCATTAGGTGATTTCATTGTTGGCGAACATCATAGAGTGTACTTACACAAACCTAGACAGTATAGTCTACTACACACCTAGGCTACATGGTACTAATCTTACGGGACCACCGTCGTATATGCGGTCTGAAGTTGACCGAAACATCGTTATGTGGTACATGATGTAAAGATTAACTGTAAAAAAGGTCAAGGCAACTACTTCTGCATCGATTAAGCACATCTCATGGTTTCCTGGGGACGGTGTCACCCTCTACTCCTTGCCATGAGCTCGTGACACTCACTGGCCTGTCAGTGAGCCAGCTGCACCACCTTAGCCTGAATGAGAGGCCAGAGAGCAGGGAGTGGAAGGGGTCCTAACAACAGCAGGGTAGGGTCTGGCCTCTCGGTACTTCCCAGTTGGACAACGTGGGTTTTATTCCTAATGAAATCAGACCATCTCATCATTTAGAAATTTTCCAAAGGAGACAGAAACTAAAATATAAAAATGTAAAGTCATTGTAAGTCACCAATTAATACAGGAAATGTGTCTTTCAGGCTCAGTGGTTGTCTATCCTCTGTTTATTCCATTTCCCACCTCTCTGTTTCTTGAAGAAGTTACACAGGGATGGGACAGTATGACCAACACTGTCTCACTACAAAGTGGCCACCAAGTGCTGCAGGAAGGGCACACGCTGGGAAGCTGGGCAGCTCTGGACAAGAATCAGCTTCAGCAACTGAGCCATCTAGACTGACAAAGCTAAGTAGTAAGTTCTTAACTACCTTCCGGAGCCTAACTTACTGATGTGTGAAGAAATGAGTACCAACGTCACCCACGGAATGACTGGACAATGACATAAGATAAAGCAAGTGGAAGCACCTGCACAGAGGAGCTCTAAACAAAAATCTGTTCCTTCCTTGGTATTTTCTCATGTTTTCATCTCTTCCCGTACCGGGAACAAGACAATTTGCTACTAAACGATACTTGATGTCCCTGGAACAGTTGTTCTCAGACTCCTCACGGCTTGTTCAAGAAGTTTCTCAGCTTATGCTGAACTCCTCCCAAGCCATCCTCCTTCCCCAAAACTCGCTGATTTTCCGAAAAGACTGTGTCACAAACTCACCACCCTTTAATTTTCACACTCTTTTGATGAGTAATGCATAGAGATGGCATATGCCCAGATAATTACAGGCTGGAATTTTAAGTACTGTATGTCTGGTTGTTTCCAGAAACCATCAAAATAGCCCCCGAATTCTAAGCATCTGTCCTTAAACCAAACCTCTCAAGCTGCCTCTCACCTGAGGGAGAACACTGTTCTGTCAAGCCAGGTTTCTCAGTGTGTGATCAGGGAAATGTGGGAAGTCTCAGCAGGTGGCTGGATGGATGGATAGACAAAGACCTGACATGCATATTTTCCTGTCTTTGCTTAAAAATTAAATTTCTTTTTTGTTTTTCTTGGATTGCCAACTCTTCCCCATCTTCATAAAGTACATTCAAAAAGAACTTTTAATGTAGTAGCCCAGTAAAGATCAATTTCCACAGATAAGGTTTGGCTTCAAACCTACACTGAACAGTACCCTGGTGATGGGGACAGATAATTCCACTTGTCAGACAGTAGGGAGCAGTTACTGCAGGCAAAGTGATGGGGCACACGGTGTCCCCAGTACTCACTGCCTCAGGTGAACAAGAGACTTCATTTTGCCATTGGATTTTTCTTTCCTATTTGATAGGCCTGGAGAAGGTTCGGAGACACCTGGGGGAAACAGCTATATAGATATATATAATAAGGAAGCAAAGCTGTCCATGTTCCCACCCCGAGAATTCAGGACTGGGAGGGACTGCATGTCTCAGTGGGCACACCGCACCCTCTCCAGCACCCACTGCAGGGCTGGGGGTTGTTGTTCACAATCTCCCATGGTTTCCACTGCCAGAGTGAAAACGCCCAACAACCCAGAAATCTGAGTTTTCTCATTCCTCCCCCAGTATCCCCGACCCCGACTCTCCACTTGAGTCGACCTGGTCAATCTACCACACACAGGTGGCCAGTTCTTATTTCCATACTTGTTGACACAGTTCCAGAGACTTCCACGTCATCCTGAACACCCTCCCTGGTTGTGGGCCAGGCCAAATCAGGACCATTCCAGTTCTATTTCTCCTTCAAAGCTTAACCGGCCTGACCACTTTCCAAAGGGACCCTCTCTTTTCCTTCTTTGAATTCCCATAAATTAGTTTCCTATCATTGATCAATATCTCTATTGTCTGCTACTTACCACTGCTGTCATTTTATGATCCCTTTCTACACTTTCTCTCACCTTCCTAACTGGTCAGTAAGTTCCTCAAAAGCAAAGACAGAATGTCATAGTAGTTGGTATAATTATTACCTAGAAGGGTCCCTGAGGGATTAACATGTAGCTGTGGGTATAAATTAGTTCCAGTTTAAAATTACAAGTCATTTTCTTTTCTAAAATTCTAAAATACACATTTTATACACTTCTGGAATTTCGGTGTTATACCATAAACAAAACTATAGCTTTAAATAAAATGCTTTCTTCTTCAGTGCCAGAATTTAACAAATAAGATTGACATGAAACACACGGGCAGCTCCCAAGAAAGGTGCTCACCTCGTCACAGTTACTCCGCCCTTGGCAGAACTGTACTCCCAGTGTAGACCGCCTGTCACGTGGTACTCACAAATATTTGTTGAAAAAATGAACCTCTTTACTGAAACTCTTTTAAATACTGCTGATGAGTGACATTAACCACAGAAATACTAGTCATTTTGTGCTCAGGCCAAAGACAGGGCGGGTAACACGTGCACACAATGCGGGGGCAGGGCTGGGCCCCGTGACGGCGACTGGCCACGGGAAGGGGAAGCATGGGCTCAAACGGAGGCTACTCACCACCATGTTGTACGCATCAGGAACTTCAGTTTCAAACTGAAATTTTCCACCCTGGTAGTAACCCTCATCTATCAAAAAACACAAAACAAAACAAAAAATCCTTTAAATTAAAAAAAAAAGGAAACAAAAAGCAAACACTATGTTAGGAAACGGCAAATACAGAGAATGAAGAGTTTAAAAATAGGACTGCAGGGTTCCTTGGTTACTTCACCAGATCCTGCCCCCGACATGATTAATACAAATCAGCTCCACCTGGCCCGCCTGCTGTCCACTCCTCATGGGCCGGGGCCCTCAGGGAAGGGTAGGCATCCTTCTAGATGACTGCTCCTTCTCCTCCTCAGTCTCTTGGAGCACTCGACCTGCACTGCCCCGCTCTCACCTCGGCCCCACCCTTTTCCGCACTGCAGCACCGGTGTATTCCCTCAAACACACCTCACAACAGGCACTCGCCCCGTTTAAGCTACTTGCTCATCTGTTTGCTGTGGCCTCCCCACGAGAATGTCAGTTCCAAGGGGGAGGTGGACCAGCGTCAACTGCTGTATTCCCAGTGCCTGGCACATGGCTTCTATTATGCATCAAACATGCACTGAGCACGGACCCTCTGCCGGGCACTGCTCCAGGCCGTGGGGACACAGCAGTGAACCAGACAGACAAAAGTGCTGCCTCAGGGAGTGTGCCCAGTCAATAGTTGTGGGCTGGCTGGCTGGCTGAGCCTCAGTGCAGCCTGCAGAACAGAGCAGGCACTGGCATAGGCGCTGACAGGCATGCAGGAGGATGTCCGTGGTTGGAGCGGCACCGCCATGCCACCCCTCAGGTCTGCAGACCCCACAGCACAGTCCCAACTTCCTTGATTGTGCCTCCTGCCTCTGCCTCTTCTAGAGCCAGCCAGCAGATGAGCCGCCCCGCAGGTGAACTTGGTTCTGCATTGTAAGCACGCTGGTGCTGCCGTCAGCAGAGGGGGGGCTCCAGCACGAATGGGCTTGAGCCTGGAAATGCCCCCAGGAATTAAATGACTCCAAACTTCACAATTTGACAAAATTAACACCATCTTTAAAATAAAGATTCAACTTCCCCCAAAATATTTATCACCATGAACAAATCAGCAATAGTACATCTTATCACTTCCCTCAGCTTCTTACATAAAAGGAACATTTAATAGTAGGTGGTTAGTCTCGAATCATCACTAAAAAAAATTTTTAAGAGTTTTGAGATTGCATAAACATTTAAGTTATCCGGCAGCTAAAACTGGCATTCCCTGGACCCCAACGTTTTTATGCGTTGCCAGTGTGACAGAAGAGAAATACTATTTCTCTTTTATTTTACATTCATCTGATGAATGCTAGCAAGGCTGAAATTTATTTCACATTATTGGTCATTTGTATTTTTTCCTGTAAGAACTGAATGGTTAATGTTCTTGAACTCTTTTATTACCGAGGTATTCATCTTTTAACTACCAATATAAAAAAGTTCTTAAGAAGATTAACTTTTGCCTTTTACAATTGTTAAACAATGTTTCTTACTCTGCTGTTTGCCTTTTGATTTTGTTGTTCAACTGGCTTTCATTTTTAAGAAGCCAGTCTCTCTTTCTGTGGTTTCTGTCTTTGGTATTATGTTTAAAAAGGTCTTTCCCAATGAGGATTATCAAAAAATTTTATTTTACATTTTCTCCTAGTAATCTTAGTTTCCTGTATTTCATAAGCTCATTCATTCATCTACAGTTTATTATACAGAATAAGGTGGTGTATTTTTTCTAATTGCTTGTCTAACCATCCTACAGCATTTACTAGTCTATCCTTACCGCACTTATTTGATACATCTATTTCTAGTGCTTATAAACACACTTGGATTAGTGACTGACGGTATTAAATTATTTTGGGGGGGGGAAATTAACTCTGGATATAAGAACTTTTCACATAAGTGGCACTGTAGGTAGAAAACACTCAGAGCACACCGTTGTTCACACAGGCTCTGTGGACACTGGTCTCTGATATTCTGTATTGATCACCGTGCCACGGCAATCTATCATCAGGCTCCTCATACCAGGCGGTGCTCTACGGATCATTACCACATTATCACAGCTTTCGGCTGTCAGCGCTCCATCTTCCCTGCTCTGCTCTTCATCCTCAAGGCTGTGCTCTGGCCATTCCATCCGCCACACGACATTTCTTCTCCAGTTGGCCTTCCATTTCACTGATCATATAGTTTCAACTCCACTGCCTACCCTGTGTCAACGAAACTGTGATTTGGTCTAATATGGTATTGACCTTACCATATTCTTCTGTCCTAGTCAAATTCTCATTTAATAATGATTAGAATTCGATCATCTCTGAACTCAATGACCATAGAGAGCAGGCTGTTCTAATTCTTTTTTCTATCTCATGAAGCAAATCTCCTTCAGGAAGATGACCTGCTTCTGAGCCAGTGCTTCTTTTTCCCTCGTCTAAGCCACATAGTTTTTGGACCTTATCCAGTTTGCTTATTCATTACTGAATTGGCCAGAAACTCCATAGTCCAACTTAAAAAGCAGCTGGGAAGCAGATCAGACTGAGATGAAACCCAACGGCATCTCTCATTTACTGTGCTTTTCTCAATGAAGACCCCAGTTGAAGAATTCTCGCTGATCCACTTCTGGGTCTGGCTCTCAAGCTTGCACTGCGCAGGGTGGAGAGTGGAGAAAGGGCTGCTCAACTCCGGAGCCAGCAGGCAGAGGGTTCACTTGGGGTGTCTGTAACCCAGTGTGCACCATGGCCCAGAGCACCACATCCAAGGCTAGGACAGGCCAACTATGTCACCCTCCATGGCTGCTGTGGCTGAAAACATCCTGCTGCTCATATAACTGGGTATTCAAGTACAACAATGAAATGCAGCAAGAGAAAGTTCCTGGCACCCAGCTCTCCATCAGCTAGCCTGTCCTCACCCTCCAGGGTTACAATGAGAGGAACCACTTCCCTCCACTTGTACCCTGGAGCCCACTCCTGCCTGCCTTCCAGGAACCATACACCAGTGTCTTCCAGCCAGGTTACGGAGATCCCTGGGAGGACAGACTGTCCAAAGGGTATGTGGGCACAAACAGCTTTAAGAGAATCCATTTCTAATGGCCAGTGTCCACATGTGCTCTGTCCTAAAATGAACCTGCCTGACAGTGTTCCTGAGCTCAAGGAGTCATGCAGCTGTCCCTTCCCACCTGTCCTTTCCAACCTTTCTCCCACTTGTAAAAGAAGGCCTACTACTCATCTACCCTCTTACTGTGATGCACTGCCCTACGTAAACAAATCTCAGAGGACAAAAGGACCATGTGATGCACTCGTCACAGTAAAGCTCCTTGAACTGAGGCATTACAGTAGGGTTGTGCTGTTCCCTATCTTACATCCATTTCTGTTAAGGGCAAAGCTTGGCGTTATAAATAAGATATCCTGGTTCATGTTGGAATGTCTTGAATTCAAACATACTCTGGAGTCTGATGGTAGCGATGATTAAAATTTCATTTAGTAACTTCAATCCCTAGACTACTGTACAAGAATGTGTCACCCCATGAGAGGCAAGCAAAGAGGGTGCCAATAAGCAACAGGTGACCAGCTCCACGCCTCACCTTCACTAGGAATTAAACTCAGGAGTGAGATGGCTGTCAGAGGCACATCTCCGAGGTGAAAAGGGAAGTAAGACTTCGCCCGATAGAGAGTCTGCCTGCTGACTAGTTTGACAATTAGAACTGGTTCTGCCTATTAATGCATACGGCAGCTATTTCCAATAAATGGAATGATCTAAATCTGTAGCTTCAAGCTTTTGAGGAAAATATAATGTGCTAAGTGTTTAATATATTGGTAAGGGTATGATGAAATTAAAAATGTCACAATTTTACTCTTTCTGGGTACTTCAGGCAAAACAAGGTACTTCCAAGTGAAGAGAGGCAGGTATGGTTAGCAGTCAGTTGACAGGTCTTGGAGAGTGGTTTTGGTTCTTGCTTCAGAAACTGGAACGCAAAGGAACTCTAATGACTGGGTTTGTAAAGCCTTTTCCAAGTCAGGTCATTTCCAATTCTCTGCTTTCAACAAAATGGAAGAAGGAAACTCATCTAGGGCCGGCCCCGTGGCTTAGCGGTTAAGTGCTCGAGCTCCGCTGCTGGCAGCCCGGGTTCGGATCCCGGCGTGCGCACCGACAGACTGCTTCTCTGGCCATGCTGAGGCCGCGTCCCACATACAGCAACTAGAAGAATGTGCAGCTATAACACACAACTATCTACTGCAGCTTTGGGGGAAAAAAAATAAATAAATAAAATTATATTAAAAAAAAAAAACTCATCTAGTCGTCAGCTGAAAGATCATGAAAATATCTTAAATAATTTTTGGCCTCTGACTTTGAAGTCCAAAGACAGAATGACACAGCTGTAAGAAAACACCTTCCCTGCCCATCTACTTATTTATGTGAACAAGCAGATCTCATTGTCTACATCTACAAAGACAAAAGGAAGGAAGAAAACTGATATTGAATGCTTCTTTCTAGTGCAAAGTAATATTTATTCACAAACACATCAACTAAATCAGAGAAAAATGTTAATGTAACCCCATCATTCTCGGATACATTTCAGATGAAATGCTATTTTATGTTTAATAACCATCAAAGCTTGCAACACACTGTTGAAGTCATTACTCATTCAACAGATATTTGATGAGTGCCTATGAGGTGGCAGGCACTATTCTAGGAACCAGTGACACATCAGCGCCACCCTCCTGCCCTTATGAAGCTTACATTCTAGTGGGAGGGAGACAAAAGAAGTAATTATATAGTAGCAGGTGAAACGAGCTAAGGGAGGAGGAGGTGGGAAGGGTTGCAGTTTTAAACACGGTGGCTAGAGAGAGCGAAAGCTTGAAGAAGGAAGACATCAGAGTGAAGAACACTCCAGGCAGGGGAAGCCAGGTGAGGCCCACGAGAGGGCTTGGTGTGTTCAGGGAACACTGCAAGGCCAGACAGCGAGGCAGGGGAAGGAGGAGCTGAGGCCAAGAGGTAACAGGCCCGACCTTGCAGGCCACCATAAGTGTGCTGGCTTTTATTCAGAGTGAGGCTCGGAGCC